CATGCTACGTCCAGGGATCCCTTCCGGTCGAATCCGCGAGCGAGTCCATTCCCGATTCTGCTGCCACAAAGCTTGCCTCATGGGAGTGTTGATAATAAGCCACCAGATGTCTCTGTAATATTTCGACCTCCCCCACCCTATCCCATCGGAGTGTCGTTTTGAGTTGAACTCTCTTTCTATGCTTGTAAGCTTCAAGGCCGTGGATGGCCTGGCCTACGACCTAGAATGGCATAGAATCGTAGGCGTAGCGCGGTAGAAGTGACAGCCAACACAACTTTCGCCCTCTTTCAGTTAAAATATTAGATAAATGCTCTTTGAAATTCTTTGCCAATGCAAAATCACGCGATGAAGTTTTTGCCGTTCGTCTCTCTATCCTTCAGAGGCTCCAAAATTTTCGTCTGATTTTCTCCGGTCGTTTTACCACACGAGCGATTTTCCAAAAGCAGCTCGAATTATATTTTAGCTTTCGCCCAGTGAAATTTTCAAAAAGCTTTACACTTTTTATTTATTTGTTACCAACCACACAGAATCCACTAAACAGGTCTCTATTATAATTTTAGGGGCTGGAACTTTTTTGCGACATTCCGGTTTCTCGATCTGCTTCCGCTTCGTCCATTCCCTGCCGGGATATTCGCGTAGGAATTCGGGCCCCGCCCCGCCCCGCTGTCATTTTTTTTTTCGAGATCGCAGGCTTGAACTGAACGCATCAGCTACTTTCCCGCGCGAAAATATCATTCGAGAAGTATTAAAAAAGAACGAACAAGGTGGACAAAGATAATTTTTCTTATTAACTTAATTTAAGAAAATGAGTCGCCTCATGGACCCCGCAGAATTTCGCGTCGCTTATGCAACACCTTGAGTAGAACGAGACGCTCGGGTTCTTTCCTCTTTCCACTGAAGGAGAGCCTGGCATCACGCGCCTGGAGTGACATGCCTGGCGGATGAGCTGGCGGGGTCTCCTCCTTTGCATAATCATGAGAGATAACAAGGGATTTCCCCCTAACCTCCCTATCCCCCCCTCCCTTTCCCGCAATGAAACGAGAACGAAAAAAAGGGAGGAAATGAGAAAAATGAGTTCTCTCTTCGTCGACGAATCGGACTGCAGAGTGCGACGCATTTCTCTCGTTCGCCTCGCTTCGATTTGTGGCTGGTGACAATGTGGTGACGGTGTGGTGACGATGTGGCGTCCTCTTCTGGGCTTTCCATCCCAGGAATATCGTTTATCGCGTGTTTCATCGACAGTTACGCGAGGTTTGAATAATGGATGCCCATGGATTCCGGCACGTGGCATGTTTTAAGTGGCCGCACGCAGGCGAGCGAGCGAGTTTTTCGCCGAAAAAATCAGGTGCCAGGACGAGCCAGCCCGACACGTCCGAGCCAGACCGACACGTCCGAGCCAGACCGACACGTCCGAGCCAGACCGACATGGCTGAGCCAGGTGTCACATCCGCTTCGGCCGCACCTTCGAAGCACCGGCTCGGACGGGGGCGTGAAAGCGTCGCCATTTCGTCTGCATTCCCGTTTCCTTCGACGCGATGCATTGCGACATCGACAGAGGAGGTCGATGCGAGGACGAACGGCTCCGAAATCCACGGTCGACAAAAGAGTCATCTTATTTATTCCGGAACGGGTTGCGTCGAGTGGAGGCCGTCATTCGCACCTCTTTCGTTGCCGTGGGCACTGCCCTCCAAACTTCTTTCGTGCCCTCCAAACTTCTCTCGTGCCCTCGAAACATCTCTCGTGCCCTCCAAACTTCTCTCGTGCCCTCGAAGTGGGAGGCCGAGGTTGCTTTCGGAAAGAGAGATCCTACGGTCTCGTCGAAGGTCTCATCTCACGTTACGAGATGATTCCATTTTTTTTATTCTTCACGGCGTCTGGAGAAAAGGTTGAGCTGGGTCCTGAGGTCTTCCGGATCCCCCATTTTCATCGTTGAAATGGTAATGCGGAGAGCGCAAAACTTGCACATGCATGAATAGGCAAGTAGCGAAGGACCTATCCCGGCAATTTCCACCTGGTAACTGAAGGAGGGAGAGGGGGGGGGGGGGGGGGGGGGGGGGGGGGGGGGGGGGAAATGAGTTTGGCTCAAACCTGTTTGTACACCTGTTTCAGTGGAACTGGTGGTCTGCATGTGCAAATTACTGTACTGTGTTGGCTTACCTTCTTGGAAACTTAGAAAAGAGGGGCCAATCATGTGGCACTGATTTTCTGGGAATGGAAAAATTAAAATGTGAGCGGTCGACTGATTCTCGTGGTAATTTCATTACATTCATATTAGAAGCACTGAGAAACCACGGATGAAAAAAAAATAATTGAAGCAAAATCAAAATGTTAAGAGAATGATGTAGAGGAAACTTGAGACTTTTTCGTCGACGGGAAAGAGAGCGTGGCACTATTACCAGTCTTAACCCTTTCCGGTCCTTCGTCAGGCAAAGCATGACATCCACAATACCTCTAAATGATGAAGGTGAAAGCGATGAAAAAGTAAAAAGGATCAGCGAGATACCCTGCGTTTCAGTTTAACAATAAATATACACTGGTTTCCAAAATCTAAGGAACAAATAGAGTTTCCCAAGTTCCGCAACACCCACGCCATGAAAATGGTCGAAACGTACAGGTGTATGGAAACTAACGATGCTACGTTGCCATAGCACGTGCAACGCGGTGGAGATCGCCCGCTGATATGCAAATCACGCGTCTTTAAAAGACGACGCTCTGAGAAGGGGTGGCGCAGTTCACGTGTGTCGATGTCAGGGGTGGCCACGCACCTCGATGTCAAGGGTGGCCACGCACCCTGTTGACCGACATGGGGCACTCCATTCCGGGGCGTCGCTTTGGGGCCCTGTGGCGTCATCGCTGCGTAACAATGGATATTGAGCCTTCCGGATCGCAATCGTCGGCAACCGGCCGACAGCCAACAACACATTTATGGATAGTTTATCCACAACATTCACGTGGTGTTCGTCATATCACGGATTTTCAAAGAGTTCCTTAAGTTTTGGAAACCAGTGTAGACCTGCCAGAACAGGAAAAACGAAACAAGAGTTAAAAAAAAAGGACCGGAAAGGGTTAAACACATGAAAGTCTCATGTGAAAAACAACAGCATTGTGATCGTCCTTCGACAGTCCCTCCTTATATGGCTTTATGACATTCGGCTGATTCCCTCAACCCTTCGAGCCGATGATGTAACCCTTGGACGTCCCCATTGCTCTCACCAAACCGGTTTCCGGTGTTTCTTCGTTCTCGTCAGGCCATACGGCAGAAAACAGGAACCGGTGGTAAATCCCTATTTTATTCGTTTTCTGAGTCACCGGGAACTCCAACTTTTTTTTTCCTCACTTGGATTCGAATGAAAAAAAAGTTTTTGAATCTTGGGGACCTTTTGTCCTCATCACGACGGTCGTGACAGTCATGACAGCTTCCCTCCCGTCAGGAAAGCCTTGAAAGCCTCTTCATTCTCTGCATTTTTTCCGTGCGAGACGAAATGAAACTCCATTTTTCTCTTCCACTTCGGATTTTCATTCAGACTTTCAAACACAACATATCATGTTTGTATTTAAAAAAAAAAATATCCAGGGCATTCATATTCATCGGAATCAATCCTGATCCCCTTGTACCGGTTTCGAAAAAAGAAATCACAGTCATCATCGAATGAAAGGGGGGGAAAAATCGAAGTCTGAAAGTCGTGGTTCCAAGAAGACGAGAATTCGCGAAAAACTCGGAGCATTTCAGCGAAAAATCACGAAAACTCTCCCGCGCGATCAGGACAATTTCATCTTAAGTTAGTGCTGGATAAGTTTTCAAATTTTCATGGAAAAAACAACAGTTTATATGAAAACTCATTAAAATGGAATACATGTTTTTTGAAAATACACGAAATTATCAGTTTCAAGCTGGATAATTAAGAAATGTTTATACATTTTCATTAGAAAAAAATATGGAAAATTTTGACCCGTTCTTAAACGCGAAACGTCAGGTGGATTAAAAATTCATCGTGGACGCTTGAAACTTGCTACGAGCGCGAATTTTCGCGGGCTTCTTATAAGTAAATAAAATCAAATTGAGATAAAATAAAATAACATCCTAAGAGTACCCCAATGTAATTCAGTCCTTGTTTCAGGGCTATAAAGGGCAATTTCAACCGATAAGCTAAGAAGCCGAAATTCGTTGCAAAGAGACTTCGCTGAGAAAGGATAAACCCTGTCTTTTTTTTTTCATCATAACCTAATGTAAATTTAAAATAAATCACGAAGCGAACCGAATAACCAAATAACCGAATTTATATGAAGCGACTCCCATGGAGTCCAAGAAATGCAACACAATTGTACTGGAAATAAATATTTAATAAGAGTTTAGAATGAGTACTCTACACAAGGATCCTCCGAACGAGACTTTTTTTCTTTCTTAGAAAGTATATTTGTTAGTACATTTTATAATTTTATTTTCTTAAATATATATTTTAGAATTTCCCTTGGAACCATTGTTGAGACGAGGATTCTCCATGAAGACTGGACTTGTTTTCGCTTATGCTTTCCGCGCTATCCGGAGCGAATAAAGGCAAGAAGGACAATTTCGGCAGAAATTGCATTTTCTCATCGGCAATTCTTTCATCAATTCTAAGTTATCGTGATGATATTATTTTTGCTCAATTGATGATTGATTGATTGACGGCGAGCATCCGTTGAAATTCTTTCGAGCAAGTCGACTCACGAGAGCCAGACGCACTTCCAAATGATAATCGTCGGATTATCTCTGGATTATCTCCAGTTGAGCACTCGGAGATATCAGCGGAAATGCGATCTCTTCAATTTCAAGCATTCATGGACCTTCACAAAAGTTTCACAGATTTTTTTCTGGAAAATGGACGGATGCGCGAACGGGGAGTCCTGTACAATCCATTTGATAAGGTAACAAATTTCTCTCAACAAAATAAAATTTTCACTATTTTCTTCTTCAGGAATCCCAAAAATTTGAAATTTTCTGAGGATTCTTTTTCTTTCATACAACGCTTGTCGAAATCTCAAGAAAAAAAAAAGCTCGGAAGTGAGGCTTTTCCCCCCGATTTGTCCTTTTCTCTCGTCTTTATATACATATTTCGTCCAGATTTATCATCGAATAAGTACATTCTTGTTGCCTAGTCGGCATCGTCCTGCCTGGGAAGATAAAATCCTTTGGTCTCGATGACTTTCTCCTTGAGTTCGGGGTACGAGGGCTGGAAGGCGAGGTTCGTCTCCCCGGTCTCCGATATCATCGTCGCTCGGGACGGGTTCATCTTCAGCTCTGCCGTCCCTTCCGTCGACGCGTCCTGTGCGTGAAAGGCGAGACGCGAGGCGTGAGCTCTCGGAGGAAATCGTCGAGTCTCATCGATCGTGACGGCGAGAAGCCAAGTCAGTGAATCGATAATAAAAAATTACAGCGAATAAATTCAGGGCCGCTAATAATAAAAATCGATTTTGCTTCTCTCGTGACTAACAGCGGCGCTAGCTAAACGAATGAACATCAGCGAATACATGGATAGTCAAGAAAACTGAACGTCAAGCAGACGCATTAAAAAATTTTGCAGTTACATAAAATTCCCTATTAAGAAATTTGGAAGCTGTTTGCCCAAAGATTTTTCCGGGAGATAATACCATTGCAGTTAATATTGATGAGAGTAACAATAAATAACAACGTAAATGAGAGCGTTCTTACGTAGCATTCGCCGACGTGGAATCGGAGCTTCCGCCGGATGCGTTCGGGGAGGAACGGCGCAACCCGGTCGAAGAAGGGGCAGATGAGATTCGGGTTGAGAGTCTTTGGATCCTGGGCCCCCGTCAGGAAGCTGACGAGGAGGCCGACGATGATCACAGTGAAGCAGGCGACCGCGGAATACCACATGTACGACAGGTGGTAGAGGCCCAAGACGTCGCCGTCGTCGTCTCCTCCCCCGTTCTCGGACACCATCCTGACGGACAGGGGATGGGTTATGTCTCTGAGGATCCCAAGGTTTTGGGTGTTACTTCAAGTGGGAATTCGAAAAATGTGAACATAAGAATCTCGGCTGGATAAAATATCCTGGCTGGATAAATAAATATTCCTCGGAACGAAGTATGAAAAGCAGTGGTTCTATCAGTCACTTGTTCGTTATTAAAAAAAAATTTGTGCACGTACAATTCCACACGTCTCCGCCACCCGACCCGATCTCAATCCCTGAAGCCGGAGCCTCACTGAGCCTCACTCACCCCGCCAGCGTGGGAACAGCAGACGCAGCCGAGGTGAACAGCACGTCGCAATGCTCCGTGGACAGCGGCTTCTTCGGCACCGTCATGAGACCCTGCGAGCGGGAGATGTTCGCCCCCAACCCGATCCAGAAGGTGAATGCCAGCCCCATGAGGGTCCCCGCCAGGGCTCCCTTCGAGTTCGCCCAAGGGAAGAACATCCCCAGGGTGAACATCCCCAGAAGGGGACCTCCGATCATCCCGAAGATGCTCAAGGCAGCCTACATAAATAAATATTAATAAACAAATAAAAATTAAAAAAATACATAATATAATATAAAAACAAATACGAAATTCGTGAAGTTCACTATTAATCGTCACGTATCGCCCGTACGACCCCAACTGGAAGACTCGCCTGGAGGACGTCGCCGAGCTGCTGAGCGACGAAGACGAACCCGAACGAGACGATCCCGTAACCGAGAGAGAGACCCTTGGACACGAGCGTCTTCCGCTTGTCGTTCATGTTCGGGGAGGCGTAGATGAGGACGAAGTCTTCCAGCGTGATCGCCGCCAGGGAGTTCAGGCCGGACGAAACGGTGCTGCGTCGGGGATCGGAAACGCAATTAATGTCGGCTTCGCGAGAGAAGGGTTTCGACTGAATCTTATTTATGGGTAGGCTAAATTTTAACGACATCGCGATTCGCCACGGATAAGAGCAAGTCTTTTCAAGCTTTTGTGCATGAAATTCATATTTGCATGTGCACTTACGTTATTTTTGCACAAATCACAGACTACATTTATAGGAAAAACGAGGATTTCACAACTCCGTCGCGACGCAATTTCCACAGCCACGAAGCGTCACCTGAGAGCGCCAGAGAAGATCCCGGCGACGAAGACCCCCGGCACCCCCGGCAGATGCCCCAGCACGTCCATGACGAAGAGGGGAAACAGCTGATCCGCCGTCGTGACCAGGCCCTGCTTCAGGGGATCGCACCCCTGGTACTTCGTGTAGATGACCAGCCCTGCGAACGCGCAGATGGTGAGCAGCAGGAACAGCCCGACTAGGTTGATCCAGAGGGCGCTGGAGAGAAAAAGGAAAGAGATTCCGATTCGCGGGAACGTTTTCGTTTCTAATTGCTTCAGAGGATAAATATGCAGTAGACGCTGCTTATTGCGATATTTTTATCATCACGATGTCGACACGACCGATAATGTCTTGAAATCTCGTGAACCAAGACCAAAACGCACATGTGCATGCACTTTCCCCCGTTATTGTTATCACCCTGCCGGATATAACGACCGAGAATACTCTGAACACTCCATCATCTCCGCCTCCACCTTATCGCCAAGAACGCGGAGTGGAAAACTCTATCTACAGGTGCGACTTCAGGCGACGTTGGACGACTTCAGGCGACCGCCCCCGCCGTATAATGGCAATTTGGTCATGCAAGGACTCCGTCCACGCCGTGGAAGTCTTTGCAGGTCGACTCGCGAAGAAAATTTTCACGTTCTGAAAGCCTCCGAAAGCTTCCTGTGCAAGATTTTTAATTTCTGGAAGATTTCTTCGAAAGTTCTCCTTCGAAGACCTTTATTTTGAAAGAATATTTCTTAATAAATATTTTCGAAATAAAAAGGCTCGTATGAACGAGTCTGATGCTTCGAAGTTTCGCCGATTCCCGCCCGTCAGCCATTCCGTAGAATTTATCGCCCCAACGCGATGGCAAAAAGCGGCATTATTGGAATATTTTTAATTGCTTTTCTCTCAATCTTTTAGAGTAACATTTCCGAACATTATGGGCATAATTTAATTTAATTATAACCGAATTTTTCATGCTCAAGAAGTCTTCCCATTTTCGCTGATTTCACTCATCACCCATTGATATCGACCACGGGAAGCAAAAGTTTCGTGAATAAAACATTGCATTTCTGTGAATCAGAGCGGAACTCCAGTTGATTAATTACTTAGATCTAATCTGTAATTATAATGCCTATATATTTTTCGGAGTTACTTTGAAATTGAATACCAATGATGACAACTGAAAAGATAATTAGGTGCTCCTCTACCATCATAACTAATGAGGTCTCAGCATCGGACACCAGTTCATTAAATCATCGTGAAAAATATATATAAAAAACGTACTTGACAGCCTGCTGTTGATTGCGCACCGTGAGGTACCTCTGGACTTGAGCCTGGTTCACGCCGTAGATGGCGATCCAGGTGAAATATCCGCCGATTACGAGGCTCCAAACCGAGTGCCGGACGGTCGGATCCGCGCTGAACCTGCGAAACGGCGGGGGGAAAAAATTGGAAACGGGGAAAGACGGGAGTTTGAGGCTTGAGGAAACTCACTCGAAGAACTCGATGCGGGTGGAGTTGTAGGCGGTGCTCCAGACGTTGGCGAAGCCGCCTTCGTCCACGACGCCCTGGAGGACCACGCCCAGCATGGCGGTGTACATGATCACCACCTGCACCGTGTCCGTCCAGATCACCGCTTTCATACCGCCCTGGGGGAGAAACGTACGCGAGTCTCATTTCCCTCACGATTTGCAAAAAAAATGATAATAATTAAAATTGTCATTAAATTAGGGATTGAAAGTACGCGGAAACGCGCTTTTGCGATATTGTCGAGGCGATGTGTTGCGTCCTCACGTGAAAAGAGAATGGCAGCGATGAGATTCCTTATCGAGAAACCATTAAAGTTTCTCTAAAATGGTTTCCCAAAGACAGGCAATTTTTTAAAGCCGGCCTCACGGCACGAGATGAGAATCGAGGGGGTAGGGGGGGGAAAGGGGAAAAGGGAGGGGGAGAGGGAGAAAGGGCTAGACCACCTCGGAAATGCCCAGCGGGCCAAAATAAGGATAAGAATAACATTACTCGGCTTTCCGGGTTCGGAATTCCCCACCTTTTTTTTCTTTTAGCTAGCTGAGAGACTCATTGTAACAAAGGCCAGGGGTGCCACTAGTCGCATAGCGCAATAAATCAGTGGGTTTTCCCCGTCCTGCGGGGGTTCCCCTCGTTCCCTCACCAACACGGTGTAGAAGATGCAGACGCCGAAGATGAGGCAGATGGACACGTACAGGTCAACGCCCGTCACTGAAAAAAAAAAAATTATAAAAATTGCCAAATTTCCTGCAGCGTTTCGACTCGACGTTGGGCATTGCTGCTGACCTTGACTGAGTGCGAGCGCCGGCGCATACACGACCACAGCCATGTACAATACCTGTAGAAAAATGCGAAGGATAGAGGGTTCGATTTCGTGCCGGTTTTCGCGCGTGCGAATTTCGCCCTTACCATCTGGACGGTGAAGATGGCGGATCCGAAGCTTCTGAGGGACCGGCTGAATCTCCTCTCGAGGTACTGCGAGGAAGAGAAAAAAATTTTAATCGTGAGGGTAGACCTTCGACGAAATAATAATCCTTTTTTTCCCCCCCGAAGGTAACCCAAGCATTATGCACGCGGTTAGCCTTGAGAGTCCCTGTATACGGGCAGACTCCGATTACGACTGCCGCTTTACGCAATCTTTCCGGAAATAAAACAAAAAGAGGAATTTCCCGTTGCAGGCGTTGGCCTTGAGGCCGTTCGTCTTCCAGCATCGTGCCAGCTCCACTTGCATAAAATGAGGGGAAAACGAGATGAAGTCCAAGTGATGCGATCCTGCTGCCTCTTCGAAAGGCAAAATACGAAGTTGACGCTTTTGAAACGCGGCTGAAACGAGGACGAGGAGAACCGACCGATCCGAGTCGACCCGGGCCAGGCCTAAACAGCTCGGAGCCGAGTTCAAACTGCTTCGGTTGGGTAGAGCGAACCGATAAAGATCAGCCTTGGGATCGTCTGGGTTCACCTTACTCGTAAGAGGGCTTTAGTCACCCGTTTTTTCGAGGACACGAAGCGCGACTTCCACGGATCTGAACGCAGATGACGAAGGAACGACGTCCGATCTGAGGGCATCTTCGACTCGGCGATGCGCCGCTTCCGGTGCGATTCGATAGACCAGCGCGTTCCCCAGCATCCGAATCCAACGTATTTTTTTAAATCCCTATTCAACAATCGCCATCAAATTTTGAGGAATTTCAAGGCTCGACTGAGCTCAGGCCACAGACAGGGAGAAATTCCTTCGCTCACCATATCGACGGAGAGAAATCGAAGATGCGCAAATGTCCCAGGCTAAGGTGACTTGCGATGAATTCGCTCTACATTGTATGATTATATTTCAGGGGTGCATTCCACGGAGACGAAGGTATGATAGATATTACATTAAGCCCATGTTAAAGGTGTCATGAACTCGTTTGCAAATCACCCTAATATGGGTTGCCTTGAAATTCGTGAAGGTCATCTTCCGACCTTGAAGAGGGCATAAATACCCGCTTTACAACAGCAAGGTCCACGCTATCTCTTTCCTCATGGTAGCAGTGTAGCAGTGCGTTTTAAGTTGCGATTAGATTAAGCATCGGCTTCATGCAAAGAGTACGGCAATTCCCGTAATCACGCTGACTGATAACGAACTTAAGTCAAGGGACGTTGCACCAGAGGTCACGTGACCGCCAGGTCATTCCCAATTGGCGGATCATCGCCATCCCGTTCGGCTGGACCCCCTCGGAGTTCCAGGATCGTGTTTTACGATCCTTTCCCTTCGAGGGATGGCTGTCGAAACTCCCCGCGAACGGGTAAAGACGAAGGTCTTTACAGACGAAGGTCTTTACCCGTCCGACGATCGACTCCCTACACGCTGGGAGACAAACACGAAAAGGTGAACATGGACCTCAAGGCCGAAAGTCGATTATCGCCTCGCATCCTTTTTTACGCCCGGCCCGGGGAAAACTCGAAGCCAAAGAGGTAATTGAAGGGGGCAAGCCGGATGGGAAAGCCGAATGGAAAAGACGAATGGGCAGGCCTCCGAGGCGGCTGTGAATGCCGGCTATCCCTCACTCTCCATAAACGATGAAGAAAAATGCAATATTGAGATTAGTGCGTGGGGATGGTCGACCGCCCGCCGGCGTTATCGGATCTCCGACTTCTTTTCACAGTTGCCCTTGAACTACGAGGAGCGAACCCAGAGTCACTGCCTACGGTTTATCGTGAGACTGCTACGAGAGCTCAGAAAACCCATTCTGCGGGGGATTCATGCAAGAGCAAATGATGAGTGAAGCACCTTGCAGATGACAAATTTATGACAGGCCTCGTAATGGGCGCCCAGTAATTTCAACAGTGGACCGGCAAAGTGTACTATGCTAAAACTGCACAGGATCCATGTCGTGTAACCACTTTTTGACGCTTTGCATTAATTTTTTTTTTTTTTTTTTGGGGGGGGGGGGGGGGGNGCTCATCGCCTTCCTCTCCGGGTGCTCGGCAATGCGGTGAATGTTGTGGGGAAAGGTGAAGGAGATCAAAGGAAAATTATATTCATTGAAATACGAGGGACGTACCGTAAGTCCTGGCATCCAGGATGAAGCCTGTCATTGTCAGAATTAGCTCCTGAAAAGTGTTTCCTTCATCTTGTTACTCTTTCGGCATTCATGAATTGACTCCCGTAACATCTTGCAAGCAGGCGTGAATGACTGGCACTTTCGCCCTATTAAAAATAATTCAATCCTCCTCTGTTTGAACCTGTTTGGCACCCATCTTTTGTATTTTCGCTAGTCTGCTATTCATATGCAATTTCATGAAACGACTGCTTATCACGACCCCAAAAGCTTCTTTCTACGAGACAGAAACTGTCAACCAGGACTTACGGTACGTCCCTCGTATTTCAATGAATATAATTTTCCTTTGATCTCCTTCACCTTTCCCCACAACATTCACCGCATTGCCGAGCACCCGGAGAGGAAGGCGATGAGCACTAACGGCTCGCTTCATTGGGTATGGTCCATGGGTTGAAATTAAATTACCACATACTCGCGCGAACTGATGTCGAATCACACTCAAACGAGGAAAGGCTATTCTCCCCGCTAAGACCAATTTCCATCCAAAAATTCAACAAATAGCTCCTACCGGTGTGGAAAGAAACCCGAGTAGAACACAGACAAAACGCTTTTCCTTCCGGGGGCAGCCTCTCCGCAGCAGTCGGATAAAGGTACCAGCGAGAAATCCTGACGTTTTGCTTACTTTGCGTATCTTTCCTCTCCCTCTATTGTACATGTATCGACCAACACTCCATCCACCATTTTTTTTTACTGTCGCATTTAATGGCTACTGGTAGCGCCGCAATGGCTTTCAAGTAATTCCAAGTTATTTCAAATGACAAATCTGTTTGATACCGTTGCAGAGTTTCGATCGTTCGTTTCCTTTCTTTGTTAAAGTTGGAGCAATTCGATCCAGTTACCTCGTAGGCAGAGGTGCATTCGAGCTTGAAGAAGATGGGGAGATAGAGGTAGGCGGCGGCCGGTATGACGAGGAAGTACGAGCAGCCGATCAGCCAGTACATCGTCCCGTACTGGTAGGTCTCCGCCGGCGTCCCCAGCAACGTGATGGCCGACATGAAACTGCGGTTCGAAAAGAAAAGGAAAACACGTGATGGAATGCAGCCGAGATGGATCTTTCGGAGAGATGGGGAGGCACTCGCGACGCAGGCGACCATCCGACCGGCCGTGTCCCCTCTTTTCGTTCTTAATAGTTTTTCGTTCCGTTTCGCACCGTGAAGTATTTTCAGATGAAACTCGCATTCGCCAATAGCCTATCCCAGGTCTAGATAAATTTAAAATTAAACAGCAAAACATCCCAAATCATTTGGAGAGTATTGGACAATCAGACGCTGCTACAAAAAAAATTAAATTCCTAATTATTTTAGCCGAATGAATCCTCCGTCCGTCCTTGCAGGGATTTTTCCCACTTTCTCTTGAAAGGAGCGCGGGAAGAATAAAAGTGGGACGAATCAGAATATTAAATTCGTCCCACATCCCCGATATTAAAAATGATAAATAATTCACCATCCGCTTTGGGTCGCCACCGATATAAACGCCGATATGGAAATTGCAGGGACGAAAAAAAACGACGCGAGGAAAAGAAGAAGATTCGCAAGAACAAATACCAAAAATAACAATGACTGAAAGGAAGCATAACGTTTTTCGTCGAGTTTCGTACCTCTCACGAATTGCCTTGCAATTGCCTTGCAATTGCCCGTCGCCCTACCATCCAGGGTTACTCAAATTGTCGAGACAATCGGGCAACTCTGAAATTGGAAGATCCTGGATTTTCCGGAATCTTGAGGTTTTTTTTTTTTTACCTATCATTCTGGTTGGCACTCGATTCCGCTTTTCCGGCAACACGACGGAGAGATTCGTCAGAACTGGGCTACTGTCCAACATTGTTATGAAAACTGGAAATGGCACATATTCCTATTAGACTTTGAAGACGATCGAAATGAATCCGCTGAAAGCTGCCTCGGGACGAGAGTTCAGAAAATCGGCCGCGGAAAAAGCGTGGCAGGACTTAACGAAAACTTGGGGGGGGGGGGGGGGGGGGGGGGGGTGTACACGCCCTGGGGACAAATTTCGCACGCCTAGGCCTACCCCATGGATGNAAGGACGAATCGTCTCCAATCGAAAACTCGAGGGTCGCTTTGGCACGTGGAAGATCTGAAAAAGAGCGAAAGGCGGAATCGTGCATCGATGGAGACGAGGGAATCTCGCAAGAGGGGGGGGGGGGCCTAGGATGCGTTTCAATCATCTAGCAGCTCTATCTGTCCCGGTAGTCAAACGATTACATTGCACTGTCGTAAATTCCACACCGGAAAAAAATCAGATCTTGTGCAGAGGCTAAGTCAGATCGCACGAGAGGAAAACTGGCTTTCCTATAGCATTCCTTTTTTTAATATATATAAAAAAGAATGATTTGATATGGATTTGTTAGAATACTTCTCTGGGTGGATAGTTACAAGTGTTTGCCAATTGTAGAATGAGGCATCGACTTGTCAGACTCGTACTTTTTCAGTGCGTGAATAGAGTATATAAGTATGTAATTGAAATGCATAGATTCACATATTAACTAATGCGTTAATTAAACTCACTTTAAATACGTTATATGAGGTAGTATAAGTAGATGAGCGATGTATTGTTTGCATGGTTGGATAGTAACGCGTAATTTTAACACGTTACAAATTTTAGGAATGAGTTACGGTATTTCGTCCCTGTATTTTGTCTTGCTTGTTTCGGCCAACGAAAAGTGCTGACAATTACGTCTCCATTATCATCATTATATTATTTTCTCATTTTAGTCTGGATTAGCCCAAGGCGGCAAGAAGATCGCAGCGACGAGTGTCGTTGCAACGAGTTCTTTTTTTTTTTTTACCTTCGATTTCTGAAATGATGCACCATGACCTCGCACCCACCAAGCCCCGCAAGCTCTCAAACGAGCGCATTTTCCTGCCGAGACAGATTTTCGCACAAGCTCTGTAAACATCCCCTGAAAATATTGGACGTCAATCAATAAGGGATTATTTTATATCTCAATTTTCTCGTTTACATTTAATCGACCCTCCTAACATAAAAATTATTATTTTTTTAATATTATTATTTAAATTTTGCATCTAGAACTGATCCCCATGCGAGTTTCATGTGAATAAAAAAAAATACAGGCACTTTAGTGTAAATATACGAATCGTGCTTTCCTCACGCGGATCATCCGTGACACCACCACGATCCTTCGAGGCAATTTACCTTGCAATAAGGGACATGGCCATGGGGAAGGTGGACATGTTCCTGCCGGCCATGAGGAAATCCTCCGAGCCCTTATTCCGCTTGAAGAAGCCATAGAAGACGCCGATGCCGGCCGAGACGGCCAGCAGCAGGGAGAAGACCAGGTAATCCACCCAGGTGAACAGCTGTTTCAGGTCTTCCAAGCTGTTCGACGGGGTGGAGGTCGACGACGGGAGTGACGTCACGTCCATCGTCAGCACGGGCTCAGGATGCACGAGAGGGGAAGAGGGATGCTCCCGGCGGCACGACTCGCGTCGGAATGGCGGCTGAAGGGTCTCCGCGCTCTCTTATTCACTGGGTCAGTCCGACCCCGGCTCACGTGAGGGGAGGAGGGGGGAAAACCCGGCTGCCGTGAGGTCCGAATTTCCCCCGGCCTCTCGCGTGTCTGACGCGAGTCGTCTTTTCTTGACGTTATGAGGGCTTTATCTTGCTCTTTCCCACTTCAGCGTGCACATGACTCCCGAGTGATCACTGCATCATTATGAGAGAAAAAAAGAGAGGCCGGCTGTTCACGATTCAATTATTTAATTCTCAGGGCCTCTTAGCGAAAATGCGGCGGAACGAAAAAATAAACTCTTTTACTATCGACGACAAGGATCCCGATATTATCCACAAACAGCATCGCCTAATATCCTCGATCGGCCCCCGCATGCCGATCGAACCAGTTTCGAGTGCGTCGCGCAGAAGCTGGAATTACGCAGAATCGGAAATGACTCGAGAGAAATTCCGAGCGGGAAATGCGGAACGTGCACCGAATGAGAGGAATGCCGGGCACAAAAAAGGCGTCGGATTCCGAGAACCGACGCTGCCGGGGCGTGCGTTCCCGTGCGGAAGCGACGCGAGGGGCGTGTTGGCGCTCCGCGTCGTCGAAACGGGGCAGGTGGGCCATTGGTTGGCTTCCCATCGAGAAATGGAAATTTAAAAGAAATCTGAGCCTAAAAAGGTGAAAGTCCATCTTTCGCTGACGACACGGAAATCTGAGCTTTTTACCAAAAAAAAAAAAATAAATAAAACTCTTGAAACAATTAGAATTTTGCGACTTTTTACCAGCCTTTCCCGGAATTTTCTCTCTGCGAGTTTTGCGACTCGCATTCCCATCGGTTATATCTTATCGCCTCCCACAGCAATTGTCGTTTCCCTCACCTGCAAAGGCGAACAAAGGCCACCACACAAAGCAACCCAAATCTGTGAATCTGCCAGTGACGATTGTTTAGCAAGCAAAAAAAGAGTGGAATTTCGCATCCGAAGTGCGAAAGTTGCGAAAAATCGCGATCCCGAAAGCGAAAAATGGAAATTCCGGAAAGCAAGCGGCTCCCTATCATAGCGACGATCGATTCGATGATTTTTTAAATTTACTACTGACCGGATTCCAACGTTAGATTCACAGAGACACAGTTACTCGACTAACAGCCGACAACCAGCAACAGGTCAGAGCATGCAGCATGAGCATGAGCATGCAGCACGAGTCGCGCTATTCACCGTGTGACTCACGTTGGAATCCGTCCAGTAGTAAATATTTCAATAATTGAAGGAAAAAAATTGTTTACGGGAACTTTCTGGCCGACCCTTGCGTTTTCCGACTCATTCATGCTCCACGAACGACATCTCACGAAAGCGGCCGAGACCGAAGTTGTAAGCAAAATAGGACAGAGAGCAGCACCATAGAAGAGGTAGAGTCCTCTGCGCCCGCGGAGCCCGGGAATCCCACAGCCTCCTCGGCCCGCGGAGGCCCGGCCCGCGGGGAGGGAGGCCGCGGAGGCCTCCGCGTTGCCCGGCATTGCACCATGGCCGCTGCGGTTGCTCCATGCCAGCATTGACGTCGGGTGCCGTGATGCAAAGGCCTTTCATATAAAGGCCCGTCTACCCCAAATACCTCCGTGTCATTGTGATCCGCCGATCCTATCTGTCGATTGTGAACGTCGCGAAGTGTAGCTCGTGTCCCTGCGTTTTGCATCATCGCCCGATTCTTCTACGGCTCCCGGCCGTCACGGTGACGTATTGTTTGCTCTTCCAGGTGATTTATCCCCGAGAGCATGGAGGGCGATGCGAGTTCGTCGTGGATCGGGTCCCTCGTGGGGCGCGTCGGGGACTACGTGAGGCAGTACCTCCCTTCCTCGGATGTCGAGGAAGAGAAATCCCAGACCGTCGCCGAGAAGGATGAGAAATTCCCTGTCGCCGAGGAGGATGAGAAATTCCCTGTCGCCGAGGAGGATGAGAAATTCCCTGTCGCCGAGGAGGATGAGAAGAAGGATGAGACCGGAGAAGCGCGGGTGTGTGAGTTCTATCTGGCCAATCGCTGTCGCTTCGGCGCCAGATGCAGGAATCTTCACCCGGGCGAAGTCGCGGCGGAGACGAAGGAACCCTTGCCCGGCGACGCGAAGGGGAAGAAGGGGAGCATGAAGACGGCGGGTGACGTCATCTCCCGCATCCGGTGGGACGAGAACTTCCCGGAGGAGTTCTTCGTCGTGGGGTACGCGGATCGGTTCCTGGGGGTGGTGGAGAAGCCGTTCGGGGCGTTCAACTGGCACGACGACCTGGCGGCGGTGGACAACGACACGCTGGCGATCCCGCAGCACAGGATCCGGTACTTCAAGTACCGGACGCGGAAGGTGTGGGACAAGGAGCAACGGCTGGATCTCGTCTTCAACAGCTCGGGCGGGGAAGGCGCGAACATCCTCGACGTCATGAAGGAGGAAGACGAGGCGTGTTCCCGGAACGTTCGTTCCGAATCGGACGAAGGATCGGATTCGGACGACGACCTCGAGGTCACGATGGGCCCGGGCGCGCGGATCCCTCAAGGCGTCCCGGAGAGCGAGCGATCCACGCACTTCCTGGCCATCCGGATCACGAACCCCGCGATCGTCGCGAAGGCGATCGAGATCCACGATCACATCGCGTCGATGGAGCCGACGCTGCGCGAATGCTGCATGCGGCGGGGTCTCTTCCACGTCACCCTCGGGATGCTCCGGCTCGACGGCTCCTTCGCGGTCGAGGAAGCGCGGCGCCGGGTGGAAGACTTGCGGGCGACGCTCGAGAAGACTTGCAGGGAGGACGCGACGTTGAAGGTCGCGGGGCTGGCGACATTCGGCAGTCGCGTCCTCTACGCCCGAGTCGCCCCGAGCCCCGCGTTCTGGCGCGTCGCGTCGCTCCTCCGCGACGCCCTCGACGACCCCGAACGCGGACTCGCCCCGACCAACGCCTTCGACCTCGTCCCCCACATGACCTTGGTCAAGGTCTCCCGCCCCGTGGCGAGGGAACGGCGGTCCAAGTACCTCGACCCGTCCCTGTACATCAAGTACGAAAACGTGGATTTCGGGGTCCAGGTCATCGACAACGTGAACCTGTGCGTGATCGACGATACGACCCGGGAGGATGGATTTTATCGGACTCTCGCTGAAATTCTCTTCTGAGAATTCCCTTTCTGGGGGAATTCTGGAATTTCCCTCTGAAAATTATATTTAATTTCCCCTGCGATGAATTTGCTCTCTCGGCGACATCTTCATACGATAATTTAAAATAATAGTTAAAAAAAAAACAGAGGGAAGTTTGAGTCTCATGAAAAATGAATTTGGATTTCTCATTTTATCCTTCCACCCTCCCCATAAAACTGATTTTGAATTTTGCATTTAACCGTCAAGGAGTGTAAAATAAAAAAAAATAGATTTCAACATGGCTACCTAAACACAGTTGCAGTCCAATGATCGCACTTGCAATTCTCCCCTTGCATTGATCCCAGAAAAGTCTTTCACGTTTGATTCGCACATTTTGGGGCGCATGTTGTTTCCAATAGCTGATGGTTTCAATAAAAATGAAAATTGCAGAACTTTGAAGTTTCTCTAAATGCACAGGACACAATTTGGCCGGGGATTCTGAAAACCTCCACATCCGAATGGAAAAAGTTGGAAGAAAAAAACTCAGGTGGAAGACGACGACGAAAATCCACTGGGTTCTCGATTTTTCTTTTCATTCGCACGGCAGAACTCAGAGGGAGATTCTGCAGTCAGAGGGGAGATTCTGCCGTCCGGATTCTCGTCCGAGGGGAATCGTTTAGGAACGAGCTCGGCCAGTCCTCATAGAAAATTCCAGGAAGTAAATCGCCCCATTTGTATGCTCCGAGCTCTTTCCCGTATTTTTTCCCCGTGAACACCTGGCAACATGGTGAACATAGGGCAACAAATCATGCGGATGGAAAGAAAGTGAAGGATCTCGAGTTTTTTTTTTTTCTCGGGCGGTTGGGGTCCGTGTTTGCCGCTCCGTGGCGTCGGTGTCGCGTTTCCCGCGAAACGGTCGCGGCGGACGCATTATGTTTCCCGACCGTGAGAGACGCGAGAATTCGGGCGGAAATCTCTCGAAATGGCAGCACTTCTTATGCGAGACGCGTTCGACCTTGATCCTCAAGGTTCAAACGACTTTTTCTTCAAGGCTTCTCCCGCCAGCCTGGTTTCCCGGTTTCCTCGAGATTTCCTCTCAACTGGAAACGGGATTGCTCAATCCCAGGCTGAGCAGACGGGCAAAAAACGACAGGACTCCTTCCTGGGAGGCACTCGCGAAGCAGGCGAGCATCCACTCGCCCCATCAATTACTTGTACTCAGTCTCTGATTGCATCTTAGCTGAACTTCGGTCTACCACTTCCGGTAGCTTTAGGACAATTTTTGGAAGAGGAAAATGACAAAAAAAGACTTTGCTCATGATATTGGCTTTTCCCCCCTTCGACGCAGCGCGACTCGGCGGAGCCCACCGATCCAAGTGCAGATTCCGCCCTCACCAGATGCCTCTAGTCGCACCCCCTCCCCCTTCCCCCCTCCCCCTCCCCCCCTTCCCCCCCTCCCCCCCCCCCTGCCCCGAAACGACTGTGAGAGGGAAAGAAGAGCTTTATTGGAGGGCGAAGCGCGTTCAGTCGCCGGGTCGGGGCTCCCGCTTGTATCCGGGCCAGTAGAGGACGAAGGCGACGAGGAAGGCGAAGAGGAGGCAGAAGACGCTGATGAATCCCACCAGCAGGCCCTCGCCGTTCGCTCCTTTGTTGCAGCCGCTGGGGAATACATGTCACATGGAAAATTTTTTCATTTCTTTCTCGTTTTAAAATTAAAATTTCGATTTAAAAATCGAGTTCATATGTGAGATTCCAGAGATTGCCTATTGCCGAGTTCGGATAACCGGATGGTTTGGGCGGATCCCGATTAATCGAAAAAAAAAACCGAAAGGATTCATTGATCCTAGGCTTACGAAGAAAACTGGTCTTTCGTCGCGATAGACGAAAGACCTATCCCTTCCTTTTGATGGAAGTTTCGGGGGTTTCTTCCAAGTGGGAAACTGGTCCATGTATATGCACCGTTCCTGGGAAAGTAGTCTCCGACTTTACATCGGCCAACATCGGTGACTCATAAGAGACAACTCACAGTTGGAAAGAAACCGGTCTGTCTGTAAAAAAAAAAAAAAAAAAAAATCGAGATCCTTCACTTTCTTTCCATCCGCATGATTTGTTGCCAAACGACTATCGGACAAGGTCACGACCTTATCCGTTGCAACTTTCTCTCTCAATTTCCCGTTCATTTCTCACAAGGGCGATCTTTATCGCCGATCTATATCACTTTGCCCCCCGTCGCACTGGAGAAGTTATTGGCTCCTCCTCTATTCAACTTAGCCCCCCTTTTGGCGAAACCCTGGCTACGTCACTGCTTCCACTCCAAAATCCCCCTACTTACACCAAGTTTACTTGGCGTGAAATTTGAAATAAAAAAAAGCCTCATCAAAACAAGTTCGTTCACCCCACCGAGGCTGCTGAGACGTTCGAAGTTAATTCTTCCAGAGAATTTTCATCAATGGTTTTCGACCGCAAACTTCTCAAATCTAGCCAGGTTTGCAAGGCGTAACAGCGATTTTTCTGCAGAAAAAATGCTCATCGTTTCGCTTCATCGGGAAAATCGAATCGGCATCCGGCGTCGAGTCGTCCAGAAGGAGGACCGACATTTGGAGACCACTTTGCCGGTGAGGCAAATAGGACTTCTCGAAAGCGACTTGTTTGCAAATGGACCTGTCGACAGAACGACGCGCAGAAATTCTGCCAAAACCGAGAGTGACGAAAACCAGAATCGAAATCGCCTAAAGAGAGAGAGAGAAATAGAGAGAGAGAGAGAGAGAATCGATGATGCAAGGCGGAAAGAGGTGAAGCGAGGGAAGCCTGCCTCAATCCCCGCCGTATTGTGTGGAAAGGAAAAGAGAAATCCATGTTCTCCCGTCCCGCTTCAAGTTCAATGGAAGTTCGGCGCCTCATTGTGTGCTGATCCCGTCGCGTGACGTAACGGGCGCCCCCCCCCCCCCCCTCCCTCCCCCTATAAAAGCCGACCGCGGACGCGTCCTCCCCCGCAGTCCAAGTCCTTCCGCGTCTCAGGTCACATCCATCGAGATGAAGGTAGGTGGCACGGGGGCGGCGGAGGCCCGGGAGATCCCCAAACTCCCTTCATCGATTCCGTTCGGTTTCCAGCTTTGGACGGTGAGCGTGATGCTGTGGAGTCTGGCGCTGGGCAAGGTCCCGGGGAACGCGCCGTACGACGTGAGTCCGTGCTTTTTCCTCGGTTTCTGCGAGAGCTGCAAAGAGCGTCACCTGTGCGCGTTACGTGTCCGTTAGGTGACGTTACGCGTGTCGAGTCGTGAGAGGGGCGGGGTGGACTGTAACGGTTTCGTGTTTCGAGCGTGCGGGTTGGGAATTTCGAATTTTTGGCGGGATCTTTTTTTTTTCTCTTGAAAAGAGTTAAAAGCCACCTAAATCCGTTCGTGGCACCGCAGTCGGTGGCACGAGTGGAGTCGGGTGGCTCTTCCCGAAGACGAAGGCAGGAAGGGCTACATTTTTTTGCCAGAAGTTTAATTTTTTTTTTCTTCCTGAGAGAACCGTAATACCGTTGAGAGCGGATGAAAGAGACGAGGCTTGTTCTACTCTTCGTGAGTGGAAATCGAAATATTTTTGTCCAGTAGGAACTAGAGAACGGGGGAGGAGAAACTTCTCGTCAGTCTTCAGCAACGTACAGCGGAGTGAGAATTCCTCAGAAGAGTATAGAAAGTTACAGCCTCAGCACGATTTAGAGTTGCAGGGGGGGGGGGGGGGGGGGGGGGGGGGGGCGAATTTAGAGTTGCAGGGGGGGGGGGGGGCTCTGGGTGAGGAGCTATGGGAAGGGGGGCTCTGGGTGGGGTTCTAAGCGGGGGACTCTTGAGTGGGGGGCTCTGGGAGGGGGGCTCTGGACTTCTCGTAAGCCCCCTCGTGAACTCGCCAGGCTCCGCCCGTGCAGGGTTTGCGAAACTCTAAAGAATCCTTCCCCGAATCGACGACGGATCGGTCACGGAACATCCTAGCCCCGATTTTTTTCTCTCTGCAGCTGGAGGCGGCCGCGTCCCTCCGACCCTACCAGTTCGGCTACCAGATCAACGACGACACGGCCGGGGTCTACAGCGGGCACAAGCAGGAACGCGACGGGTCGGGGATCACGCGGGGGCAGTACAGTTACATCGACCCGGCGGGGACCCGGCGGACGGTGACGTACACGGCCGACCCCGTGAACGGGTACCAGGCGGACGTGCAGGAGCAGCCGGCGGCGGGGCCGCCCACGGATCCGATCGCGGCCAACACCGTCAATCGACCCGGGGTGCGTCCTCCTGCGATGATACGGCTTCGCGGTTTTCGCGGACCGTTTAACCCTGGAATTACCGTTCCGGGTCGAACGGAACCCGAGACTAACATTTAGCCGTTTGCGTCGGCTGCGCCGTGAACTCGTAAAGCCCGATGCTCCGTGTACTTTCGTGAAGACACGCGACTGTAATTAGAAGCATTCCGAAGAGATTCTCCGAGAATGAAGAGATAAAAAAAAAAAAAAAAACAAAACAAAACAAGCAGTTAAACTCACGACCATCCGGGTTCTGCTAGTTACCGGACGAAACCAGCCGCAACTGCGGAATTTCAGCAAAACAGATGAAATCCGGCTCGGAGAACGCGACGATTCTTCTTCGCTTTCTCTCCGAATCCGTGCGAGACTATTAAAAGCTCTACGAACAACTCGGGAGTCGCAGAGATTGAGCCCCGTCGCGGCGGCGCTGCCATCTAGCGGCCGCTGGAAAAAAATCTCGCGATAAAACCGCGGAGAGCGGGATTCCCGCGCATTTTCCATTCGCGATTTGCTTTCTACAGCTGAAGTGATTGTCCGGTTCTCCTTTGAATTTTTTTTTCCTGTCTTGCAGTCGCAGTTCTCGTACCAGAGAATTTTCCCTCTGGTGAACCCGTTCCTGTTCCAGGGATACCAGGGATACCCGGGATACCAGGGATACCAGGGATACCAGGGATTCTCGCCGTTCAACTTCTACAACTTCAATGGTCTGCAGCCGTACAACTTCTACAACCCGTTCCAATACAACCAGCCCTTCTACTACTGAAGACCTTCGCGCATCCCATTATTATTATTGTAATTGTGTTTCCTGGAGAAAGAAGAATATTGCCTCGTTCCACGAACACGCTCTCCGATTCCCTTGAGAAAGACGGAAACGAAACTCACAAATAAAAACAGGAATATTCCATGAAGCCGGTGAGGGCGGCGGCGACGGCCGTCGCGAAGATCGCCGAGCCGAAAAACACGTGGAAGGGCATGGCGGTCTTCCGAGCCTCCACGGGCGTCCAGGGAACCAGGAAGCAGATTGCACCCGCCACCCACTTCAAAACAAATTTTTAATTAAATTTAAAATAATAATAAAAAATTAAATTATAATTTTTTCGACCTTCGAAGCGTCAACGAATTATTTAAAAAATTTCGCTCGGCCGATCTTCGATATCCATTCGCCTCGAAAGTGCAAACCCCACCCGGCATTGTTTCTCTCACAATGGACTTCACCCGACCGAAAACACAATGACCGACGGAAAGCGAAGCGATCACCTGAAGGAAGAAGAGAGCGACGGCGACGATCCCGACCCAGGAGTGGAGGCTCTGCATGTCGGGATATCCGTTGAGGCGGTGGTTCTCGAAGGCGACGTAGAGGGCGAGGACGGCGAGGAGGCAGGAGGCGGCGAGGATCGCGGCGTGGCCCGCCTTCAGCCACTTCTTCCGCAAGCAGCTCAGCACGCGGTAGGTCATCATGCCTGCGGGATGGCGCAGTCGGTTGAGGGGTGGGGGAGCGTTCGGGAGTCCAGGGTTCGAGTCTCGCCTCGCCACATCCTTTTTTCTTACCGTTTCCGTAAAGGAAGATCATGCCGAGGGTCATGGAGAAGATATGAACGTTGAATTGAGGCTCCTTCTCACTCCACCAGTTCAGTCCGCCTTGGAATTTCAACAACCACCCCAAGACGAGAAACAACAGAACGAGTCCCGACACTTCCGCAAGGACGAGCAGAAACAAGAACGAAGTCCACCGGATCGCACCCATCCCGTTCCAGCGCGTGAATCCGATCACACCCATCCCGTCCCAGCGTGTGAAACCGATCAACACCCGATCCGCGATATCGACTCTCCCACGTCCACAGATCGAACCCCCAGGCGACCACCCACCCGCTCCCCAGATCGATCTTCCTGGGCGACCCGTCAAACCATCGAGACCCCGCTGCACATACACACACACGGCGAGGAAAGTATGACAGATCCGCCAGTTCCGATCGCCCAGTCACATTGAAATGGAAATGGTTCTGTCCGACCGGGACACCTTTCACTTTCACCCTGGTATTGCTCTCTCTCCGGTTACATCAACATAACATACCTTTTACCCCCTACCCTCCGCATTAACGAAGGGCAGCCCCCTAATGAAAGGCTTTTCTTTCTCGCAGCATGGTGATTTCGATGGAAATGAATGACCGGAGCGATATTCATCTGGGGCATTCGCCTCTGAGCAACACTTACTCGCTCGTTCCTCTAGGCTTCCAAAATTATGTCGTAACGAGCATTTAATTTGCGGTATTTTCACACCAGTGGCAGGGAAATTGAATTTTACTTTCACTGCGCAGAAGAAACTGTCTCACTGATACCCGGCTTGTGGGAATTCAATTCCAATTTTCACAAATCGGTCCCCATCATCCGCGGTTGAAACAGTCGATTGAATCAATCCAAGTGAAGGGACGAGAACAAGTCAGTGAGTCTTCAACAATCTCGGCAGCTGAATTTTTATTCCATGAGGAATGGCACACTATAATGCACAATTTTGAATGGGAGTCAAGGCAGGCAACCACAAGCGGCCGCTTTTGTACCAAAATGAAGAAAGGAATGAAGGATTCAAGAAACATTTATATGATCCCTGGAAATTCATATAATAGTAATGTATCGCATATAGAGATTTAAGGCCGTGGCGTAAATGATTTGGCACCAAGACACAAGAGACAAATTTTCTGGCATGCAAACGAGCAGCAAAAAAGTTGATAAAAACTTAAAGGTAAGAAATGCAAAACCTAATTATTATGTTGATCTATTTAGGGCGTAAAATGTTCTTTAAAAGGCGCAAATACGAAAAAAAAAGACCAAAACTAACTGAGACTACTGCTGCCAGCTGCAAACGATCTAACAATTTTTTTTTGAGTTTATTCACACAACTGAAATCATGCAAATGATTCTGATCAGAGAGGAAATTCATGATACAGTAAGCTCTGAAATCCCATAACGTTTTTTCATGCCAACAATATACAAGAGGGGAAAAAAAAATAGAATCTCTGAATTCATCTCCTAAATAGGTCAACAAGAAAAGAAAAAACTTTCCATAAAAAAATACAAGCATCCTGGAAGATGGAAGAGGAAGACACGGGCGAGGGACTCCACTGACGCATATCCACATATCCAGATCACTAGTTTGTCGAGAATCTTCATTCTCAGTCATCACAATGGTAGGGGCACGTGATCCCTCGGACCGAAGCTGCCGCTTTCCCTATCGGCGTCGCACCACTATCGACGTCACACGATGCGTCCGCACTTGTGATACTGGCCGACGGTGCTGGACGAGGAGCAGGAGAATACGTGGCTGAATGATAGCAGCTGGGAGTAGGTCACCACCATCCTGCACAGCAGAAAAAAAAACTTTGCTGATTGTTGCTTTGTGACGTGATGCACCAGATGTCCCGCTACCATCCGGTATCCGGTCTATCCGATACGGCCAGATATCAGCCGAATATCTGGTGGAGGGAAGGGGGTGACCGTCCCTCCAAATAAAATCCTTCACAGTGATGATTTCTTTTATTTTGCCAGATCGGCTTGTGAAAGGATAGTCTATTTCCAAAGAACAGAAGAAAACAGAACAGGAAGAAAAAATAAGTAAAAAATTGCGGAGACGCAACGCACGGGAAACTGCGAGTTTCAAGCGCCCTCGCACCTACAACTCCCAGTCCCAAGACATTCAATTTTCGCATCAAGCCAACCTTTCCCTTCCCCTCTTCGGGGGCTCCTCATCACGGGGAACCCGAGTTCCCATTAAAAACCAATCGGCTCCCAGAATAACGGGGAATTTCGCAGCGCCACATCCCTTGAGCGTAGGAGCGGCACCTACGATCCCTGCCTCGCCCCGGCTGGATAGAAAGTGAGAGGCAACGAACAACGGAGATAAATGAGAATGCCGACACCAAATAAGTGAGAGATGACTCGAACGCACGACCATCCGGCTCCGGCCGGATACGTGCTGCATCATATCCGGTACGGGACCAAAACTACTCGGTACTTCACCATTCAAGACCCAAGATGAGATCCCACGCCACTTCTCACTTTCCTTTTCCCGTTCCGTGGTGCCATCGCAAAGGAAATCTCGCCAACGGTTGCAAGATTTCCTCATATTCCAGAAATTCAAATGTAAAAAATCGCATAAACACCCAGCTGATATCGCTACACAGGCCACCATGCATCACGACGTTGACAAGCGTGCAGAGAGGAAAGATAAGCTTCCCCACACAAATGGCATCACCTTTATATGCAAATTATGCAATGATGGCGCCCCCAGAGACAATTTTTGGCAAGTGCTTCATTTATGCAATGGTTGCACCCCTGGTGGCAAGATTTGGTAAGTGCTGGAATTAAATCCCAATGTGCCACTTACTGTACCTGTGTGATGGCACTATCCAAAATCTTCTAGTTTCCGCACAATAAAGCTCTGAAGTAGGATATGTACATTTTAATCACCTCAAACATATCCAAAAAATTTTCATGAGGATGTGCTGATATACTGGATGGCCAACAGAACTTCCTACCCCCCCCCTCTACAGTAAACAAGACAGGCTTAGGTTGAATTTTATGGTTCTGCTATATTGTGCTGCTGGACGCAATTTTCTTAATGATGAATTTTTTTCACCACAGCAAGTATTTTAAGCAAGAAAATCAGCCCTTTCATGTCATGCATCGTTGCATGGTCATAGCCTGGCTGATCGCCAACGATGGCAAATGATGTGAACCGCCCTCCATATCAGCCCCATCTCCTCACAAAATTATTGGATTCACATACTCACGATCACATTCATCAATCATGCTCATTCTTATCATGCTCCCAAAAACATATAATTTGTTCCCTCCCCTTCCTGCCCCCATATTGTTCCTGTTCCTCCATCGAATCAGAAGAAAAACTTTTGACTGAGAGATGGCTAAGGACAGGGTATGGCCAACATAGCTTAACACCTTCCGGCTTCGAGTTTAAGCGCATCCCAACTCGACAGAGGAATAACTCCAATCTTTGACCCCATGCAGAAATAGGCTGAGCCCTACAGCCAGCTCTGCAGTCAGGCTCTGTCGACAGAATACTCATCATTGCGCCAGTACATCAGGAAAACCTTCATCACCGCTCAAAAAGTTATTCGTGACCGGCGCTTTCGTCGAGGCACTATTTCGTCGCAGACAGATTGTCGCACGTGCACGGCGAGATTGCAAACAAGGGTAAAAGCAAGGTGAAACAATTCACAGGGAGGGAATAAATCCCTGTTATTTTTGCCATTTTCTTTGAGCTGCACCGTTCATAACAAATTTGAGTTATCAAGTGCATGACATTAGAATTGGTCAGATTATCTACAGCAGGGGTGTCAAACTGGCGGCCCGCGGGCCGGATCCGGTCCGTCAGTCCATTTTGTCCGGCCCGCTAAGTCCTCTTCAACAGTTGCTTACGGAAACGAACTGCAAATTTCTGCCTGTTAAAGATAAGGTGTTACAATTTTGTTGCGGCCCCTATTCACCCCTGATCTACAGCAATGGTTCTCACCTTTTTTTTTTTTTTTTTACCTGTGGGCCCCTTTCGGAATAGATGGGACCTGCACCCTTCATCATCGAGTAAGTTTTTAAGCTTGTAAAATTAGTGGTAGTAATTTTTAAGAAAGTGTTTTAAAAGTTGGCTGAAGGGACACTCCTTTCGGAATTTCCTTTTCATCACTTTGTCTGTTATTCCTTTTTGGCGATTTTGGTTTCACAGACCACCCAAGACCTCGACAGGGACCCCTAAGAGTCTGCGAACAATGAGACTTTGATCTACAGCAATGGAAAACTGCCCTAGAAAG